CTATTTTTAACTTTTCAGAGCTGATGTAAGTTCTAAAGATAAACACTTTACAGATAGTTCTTGGCTTGAGAAGAATAACTATAAGGCATCATTCAGTGTTATAAATGCAAAACTTGGGTTATGCACACACATATAATATGCATGTGTACATACAGACACATATGACACATATACACACAGATACAGACGACACAAACAGACAGACAGACAGACAGACACCAGCAAACACACTGGTATTGTTTGGAAAGCAAGGCTATACAGCAGTGTGACCTTTTTGTCTTGGAAAGGGCTCTTCTTCTCCTTTTGGCGTTTTGAAACAGAGTTTCACTGTGTAGCCCTGGGTGGCCTAGAGCTTACAGCTGTCCTCTTACTTTCCTCTGTCAATTTCTGGCATCACAGGTCTGAGCTGCCTCCTTGGATGTGACTAATGAAAAGTATATTTAGAAGTGTATACACATCCACACAAGATCTTTCATGTGGGGAGGTGTTGTTTATTATTGTGACATAGCCATTAATTTTTGGAACTGTTGGACTCTCTCTGCAGGCCTCGGATACATTTTGTTTTGTTTAGTAGCTGCACATCCATGTAACTTTGAGACATTTTGATCCAAGGTTTGGAAACAACTGGTGGTATTGTAGACCCACATCACAATTCTCTTGGACCACCAGTAAGGTTGCTTCACGCTTGTGTCTTTGTTTGTTTGCTTGTTTGTTGTTGTTATTTTCTCTGTGTAGCCCTGGCTGTCCTGGAACTCACTCAGTAGACCAGGCTGGCCTCGAACTCAGAAATCCACCTGCCTCTGCCTCCCAAGTGCTGGGATTAAAGGTATGCATCACCACTACCTGGCTTTTTTTTTTTTTTTTCAAGTGGGTTCAGCTCAGGCTGATTTTGAATTTGTATTCCTTTTGCCTCAGCCTCCTCAAAGTTCTGGGATAAATTACTTCTGGAAAATGGAGTTTAAAATATTTTGAAAGATAGAAGATGTAGCTCGGTGACTAGAGTGCTTACATAGTGTGCATGAAGCCCTGGGCTCAATCCTCAGCATCACAGAAACTGCATGGTAGTGCATGCTTGTAATCTCAGGACTGGTTAGGAAGAGGCCACAGGACCCAAGTTCAAGGTCATCTTTGGCTACATGTCAAGTTTTAGGCCAGCCTCAGGTACTTAAGATTTGGTCTCAGGAAAAAAAATGATTGAAACATTATTTGTGAAGTACTTAACATTTCCTCACTCGCTCACTTTTTTGTTTATTTTATTATTTTTTTGAGATAGAGTTTCTCTGTGTTAACCCTGGCTGTCCAGGAACTCATTCTGTAGACCAGACTGGCCTCAAACTCAGAAAACTGCCTGCCTCTGCCTCCTCAGTGCTGGGACTAAAGACTTACACTACTATGTTGGGCTCAGGTAGACATCCTTAAAATTTTTTTACTGATCTTTACGTGTATAAGCATTTTGCACATATGTATGTCAGACAATCAGAAGAGGGTGAAGAAGCTTCTGCAACTGGAATTGTAGGTAGTTGTGGCTGCCTCTGTGAGAGCAATACGTGCTTGTAATTGCTGAGCCATCTCTCCTGCCACTCAGGCAGTCACTTGAAATGAGACTGAGTCTTTGGCATGAAGAGTACCCGTGGGTGGAGGAAGTTGTGGAATGGTAGTGTCCAATAGGACTGTCTGCCCTGTGTGTGATGATTGAAGTTGTTGTCGTTAATTGTACATTTGAATGTGACTGAAGCATTAAATTTAACATGGAGTGCCTGGAGACAGGGTTCCAAGGTTAAGAACTCTTGTTGTTCATACAGAGGGCTGGAGTTTGGTCTCCAGCTTCTTCCACATCTAGGGTGTGTCATGCTCTCTTCTGGTTTCCACATGCATCTGCACACTTATATACAGAGAGGACATGGCAAAGCTAATAAAGAGAAAAGTAGGTTAGGTGTGGCTGAAGTAGGCAGATCTGTATGAGTTCTAGGTCAGTCTGATGTCCATGGTAAGTTCTAAGCCATCCAGGGCTTCACTGTGAGACCCTATCTCAACAAAACAAAACACAATCAAAAACCATGTGTTGCTGGAGGCTACCATACTTGAAAACACAGAGGCCGCATATTAAGGTTTTCATCTCACAGACTGGAGGGAACACTTAAGATACAAAAAAATGCATCAAATGAAGCTAAGCTGCAAGGCTGGAGAGATGGCTCAGTGGTTAAGAGCACTGACTGCTCTTCCAGAGGTCCGGAGTTCAATTCCCAGCAACCACATGGTGGCTCACAACCATCTGGGATCCGATGTCCTCTTCTGCTGTGTCTGAAGACAGCTACAGTGTACTCATGTACATAATAAAATAAATAAATAAATAAATAAATAATTTTTTTAAAAAAAGGGTAAGCTGCAGAATCTCTCTCTTAGTCCACCTCCCTGTGCCTAGTAGTAGAAAGGCAGGACATGGTCTCCTGTGCTCAGCCGCAGCTAGTCTTCACAGCTGTACTAGTCCTTGGGAGAGTGTCATCTCAAGAGTTCTAGATGATAATCTTCCCTGAAGTCACCTTCTGAGCATCAGCACTGATGCTCAGGACTCTTCCTTCCTGAATTAGCCTGATGCCAGCAGCCCCAGCTCTTACCTGTTCTAACTATCACAGTGATTGAGGGTCTCAAATGGAACGTGGAAAGGCTGCCGACCCTTAGTTTCAGATTTGCTTGTTAACGGTCCTGAGACTAAGGTAATTGAAATGAACGTCTGAAGTAAGTATAGGTCTGAGATGTTGTAGACAGCTTCCATTGTGCTAGTAGACTCCTGAAGTAAAGGCCTTGCATCTGGGGTGAGAGGTTAGGAAAGCTGAGTGGTTTCTTAATTGACCCGAGGCTCTTGAGCCTCTGCTTCAGTGTACTTTTTAGACTTGATTTCTTACAAGCGTCTTCTGATGTTCATCCATCTGAGCTCACTGTTCAATTCCCAGGCTTTGTCCTTTCGCTCTTCCTCTGTCTCCTGACTGTAATGTCTGCTTCCTTCCAGTTCATATGCACTTTGCCTTGCTTGAGAAGCCTTTTCCTTCCGTTCTAGTCCACCCTTTTGGTCTTCTAGGACATTTTTGGGATAATCACATGGTTTGTTATTTCTTATTATTGTCGCATTGTGTGCTTAGTGACTTTTTTGTGAGTGTGAGTTTTCTCCCAGCTACACTGTGAGTTCCATATGTCTGTATCTGATACATATCCCTCATGTCCTCTATAATGAGCAGGAAATACAATTTAAAAGCATGTTAGGTACACCCCAGCTAGTTAGAGTACAAATTTAGAGTGTTTTCATTTATTTAGTGAATTACTACATGTTGTAGGAAATATAAAGATGGCTAAAATGTAGTTTTTTCCAAGAGAATTTACAGTCCACACAGAAACAGCTAAATGTGCTAGATCCTATGAAAAACACACAGACTCAGTGGGTTGCGGTTGCTTATGCCTGTAATCCTAGTACTGTAGAAGACCATTGCCAGAGACTTGCCATGCATTTGAGGCCAGTCAGTATTACAGTGTGATATCCTTTTTCAAACACCCAGAAACAGGGCTGATGAGGTGGCTCAGAGGGTTAAAGACACTTGCCACACACGTTTGGCATCCTGAGTTCAATCTTCAGATCATACTAAAATGGTGAAAGGAGAGAACTAACTCTCTAAAGTTGTCCTCTGACCTTCCCTGGACTCACCCTGACACATGTACCCTCCAACACACACACACACACACACACACACACACACACACACACACACACA